AGGGCAGTGGCCTAACTCCTCCTGGTGGGGTGCCAGGGCCGAGGTCAGTGCCTGCTGGGCCTGTGCCTGGGCTTCCTCAGGCTGGTCTCCTGCAGAAAGTCATGGTCTAGGAGTGTCAGGCCCAGGGGCCATTCACCCACTGTCCCATCTGAAACGCCCTGGGGCTCCTTGCAGCACAGACTGTGGGCCTGGGGCCCTCCCCCTGTGGTCCGCCCACAGGGCTGCACTGTGAGCAGAGACCTGATGGAGGGAAGCAGGGAGGGGCTGCTCCAACCCTGATAGAGTCAGCGGGACTGAATGACCTTCCCGCCAGGGCCACACCAAACAATTAGCAAATTGTGGAGCCATGGTATTCAGATGCTGGACTTGAAGGTCACAGAACAGGGACCCCTGAGGGAGGGGAACCAACAGAGTGAGCCTCACAGTCGGCCCGACTCACCGCCATGAGAGCATGTCCAGGCCCTGGTGCAAAAATGGAAAACCCAGGCGCTCCATGCACCCCTGAGTCAGAGGCGGCCCTGGGATTTGGGGGAGCCCCTGGCAACTAGTGTTTATGGCCAGAGTGCCAGAGAGCAGAGACCTACCCTGAGTAACTCTTGGTCCTCACAGGGTCTCCCTCAAGTGTCAGCTATGTAATGACCAGCAACCCCATGTGAGTCTGGGATTAGGGAGACCCACAAAACTAGAGGGCTCATCCCAGACACCAAACATGCCTACAGCAGCGCCTATTTTCTCCTGCCAGGTGGAACACGGTCCTGATTCAGGACATCGGGGAGACCACTCAGGGGGCATTGCTTCCGTTGTGGGTAATATTAGCCCCAGTGGTTCTGTCCCACCTGACAAAGCTGATAGCAAACTCTAAAGAAAGAGCCATTCCCAAGAATTTTTAGGATTTTCTACATTTAATATGATAGCATCTGTGAACACAGATTATTTTGCTTTTTCCTGATTTAGATGCCGTTTATTTCTTTCACTGTCTATCTGCTTTCCCAGAGTTTCCAGTCCTATGGAGAATGGAGGTGGCACAAGTGGGCATCCTTATCTTGTTTCTGATCTTAGAGGAAAAGCTTTCAGTCTTTCAAAATTGAGTGTGATGTTTGCTATAGGTTTTTCATACATATTCATATATATTTATATATATTCTGTTTCCTTCCATTTCTAGTTTGTTGAGTATTTTTACATACAACTATCATATGTAGAAACATCCTTGCATTTCAGCAATAGATCTCTCTTGGCTGAGGTGTATAAATCTCTTAATCTGCTGCTGAATTTGATTTGTTAGTAATTTGTTTAGTGTTTTTACATCAATGTTCATAGGGGCTATTGACCTGTACCTTTCTTTTTTTGTAGTATCTTTGTCTGGCTCTGGTATCAGTAATCCTGGCCTCAGAGATTGAGTGAGGGAAGGTTCCCTCTGAAGTTTACAGTGACCTAGGAATGAACAAAAAATCCTTAACTTGCCCTGACTGGTTTGGCTCATTGGATAGTGCATTGGCCTGCGGACTGAAAGGTCCCAGGTTCGATTCTGGTCCAGGACATGTACCTTGGTTGTGAGCACATCCATAGTAATAGGTGTGCAGGAGGCAGCTGATCGATGTTTCTCTCTCATCGATGTTGCTAACTATCTCTCTCTTCGTCTCTGTAAGAAGTGAATGAAATATATTAAATAATAAAAAAAAGAAATGCTTACTGCATGCCCTGGCTGGTTTAGCTCAGTGGGTAGAGCATCGGCCTGTGGACGGAATGATCCTGGGATCAATTCCCGTCTAGGGCACATGCCCGGGTTGTGGGCTTGGTCCCCAGTGGGGCATGCAGGAGGCAGCCAATCAGTGATTCTCTCTCATCATTGATGTTTCTATCTCCTCTCCGTCTCCCTTCCTCTCTGAAATCAATAAAAGTATAATTTTTAAAAAAATCCTTAACTTGATATAAGGCATCTATGAAACTCTCACAGCCAACACCACATTCCATTGAAAAGACACTTTTCCCTGAGACTAGGAATAAGACACAGGTGGCCCTGCCATCACACTATTCAGCTTCATACTGAGGGTCTGAGCCAGCACAACAAGGCAAGAGAAAGAAGTAAAGGGCATGCATATTGGTAATGAAGAAATAAATTGTCTCTATTCACAGAGGACATGACTGTCCACATAGAACAAACCCAGGAATCTACAAAAGGTCTCCTGGAAATATAAGAATTTGGCAAGGTTGAAGAATGCAAACTTAAAATAATAAAAATTAATTGTAGTTCTACACGGATGTAGGCAAAAGGAGATTTACAGTTATGAGTGAACGAAACAGAGCTTATTCTTATGTTATTGTTTGTTTTTTAATAATTGTATTATTTATTTGTATTACTTGTCTCATTATTATTGTTATTATTTTGCATCCTTACCTATGATTTTTGTTTTAGCTAATGATGACTGGTAGTTTAATATACTTTTGCCAATCTCCATATAATATTAATAAACAATTAGATTCCTAACTTTTTGTTTAAAACTATGGCTTACAACAAAATAAAAAATGAAAAATAGCATAAATGTAACATAATGAAAACTATCAAAACACTGATGAAATGAATCGAAGAGACCATGAATAAATGGAGAATTAGAGCATCTTCACGGGTGGGAGACATTGTTGATGTCAGTTACTTTCACACTGATCTGTAGATTCAAGGCAATCCCAATAAAAATTTCAGCAGGATGTTTTTTGTTATCAATAAGCTGAATGTAAAAGTATTTGGAGGGGAAAGGGGTTCAAATAGCCAAAGCTATTGTCATTCTTGCTGTTGGAGACCCTCGTCCGTCTACCTTACCCTTTACTGCGTTCCTCTGTGGCTGGTGCCCCCTCCTCAGCCGCCTGTGTGTGGGGATGTCCAGCAGCAATGAGCAGCAGAGCCCCAATTTCAGCCCCTGCTGCCCAGCCTCTGACTCTGGGATTCAAACCATCCCTTGCAACGTCAGGGAGAACAGCTGGCAGTGGAGCACAGCAGGGCAGGGGGGGCTGCCAGGGCTCCCCCACTCCAGATGTTTCCAGGAGTGTTTGCTTAGGAGACAACACAGGGCAGGGGGCCAACCCCTCTTCAACAAAACAGACTTTTTACAAGCAGTAGACTCTTTCCTAGAAATAATCCAGAGGAAATACGGGCACCCACGACTCAGCTCAAAATATCAACAAGGAAAGGAGGCGTGGGGAACCTCCTGCTTGGAAAACAAACACCAGGAGGGTATAAAAGCCAACAGCCCTGGGCATCTTACACACTCACACTCACTCACACACTCACACACTCACACCCTCCTCCAGCCCCACTGCCCCACCATGGCTGCATCCGCCCTGTCCGTCTGCTCCAGCAACCGGAGCTATGGCAGCCGGGCCTGCCTTCCCGGGTCCTGTGACTCTTGCATGGACTCCTCCTGGCAGGTGGATGACTGTCCAGAGAGCTGCTGTGAGCCCTCATGCTGTGCCCCCACTTGCTGTGTCTCCAGCTGCTGCCAGCCTTCCTGCTGCACCTCCAGCTGCTGTGTCCCCAGCTGCTGCCAGTCTACCTGTTGCACCCCCAGCTGTTGTACCCTGACCCCCTGCCTGACCCTTGTCTGCACCCCAGTGAGCTGTGTGTCCAGCCCCTGCCAGTCAACCTGCACCAGCTCCTGCACGCCCTCATGCTGCCAGCAGTCTAGCTGCCAGCCTTCCTGCTGCACCTCCTCCCCCTGCCAGCAGGCCTGCTGTGTGCCCGCCTGCTGCACACCTGTCTGCTGCACACCCGTCTGCTGTAAGCCAGTCTGTTGTAAGCCTGTCTGCTGCACACCTGTCTGCTGCACACCCATCTGCTGCAAGCCTGTCTGTTCTGGGGTCACCCCCTGCCCCGCCTCTTTGAGCTGCTGCAGACCCTCCTCCTGCGTGTCCCTCATCTGCCGCCCCGTGTGCAGGCCTGCCTGCTGCGTGCCCGCCTCCTCCTGCTGTGGCCCTGCCTCCTCCTGCCAGCCCAGCTGTTGATGCCCACCCATCCTCCTGCATGTCCCTGCTCTGCCGCCCCCTGTGCTCCTGCCCAGTCTACTGCATCCCCACCTCGGCCCAGAAGTCCTGCTGCTGAGCAGGCATGTCCCCCAGGACCAGCCGAACTCGGGTCTCATCCCGTGACTGTGGTCCTCCCAGCCGCCACTCAGTCTGGTCCTAAGTAGTGTCAGGTGGCTGCCCCCACTCAGGACGGGGAACCTCAGTCTCCACTAACCTGACCTGACCTCTGCCCTCAGGACCCCTGGACCTCACTGCTCCCTCGGCTTCTGCCTCCTACGCGATGCCTCCACCTGCCAAGGGCCACCTGTCCTTCCCTCCTAGTTTCTCTGTTGAGTCACTTGACCTCTACTCTCAGCTGGTCAGCACCTCCTCGGGCACCCAATAAACTCACCTCAGCACCTGATCGCTTCCTTCTTCTGATTTCATGGGGGAGGGGTGGGGCCATGTGGTTTTCACCAGACATTGTCTTCTTCAGCCACGGATATTTCTAGAAATGAGTGGTTGAGAGATCCCGAAGGGCAGTGGCCTAACTCCTCCTGGTGGGGTACTGCTGGGGTTCTTATTCCAGCATCAAGGATTCAGGAAATCTGGAGAAGGCTGTGTGTAGCTTAAATAGGAGTCCAGAGACGAAGCATAATTTTGAAAGGCATTTGGGGGTCAGAGGAGCTTAGCTAAAGGAGCTAAGTTCTAAGGTCTAAGGCAGAGGTTCTCAACCTTCCTAATGCTAGGACCCTTTAATACAGTTCCTCATGTTGTGGTGACCCCCAACCATAAATTATTTTAGTTGCTACTTCATAACTGTAATTTTGCTACTGTTATGAATCCTAATGAAAATATCTGATATTCAGGCTGTATTTTCATTGTTACAAATTGAACATAATTAAAGAATAGTGATTAATCACAAAAACAATATGTAATTATATATGGGTTTTCTGGTGGTCTTAGGCAACCCCTGTGAAAGGGTCGACCCCCAAAGGGGTCACGACCCACAGGTTGAGAACCGCTGGTCTTAGGAGAGTCAGGCCCAGGCGACATTCACCCACTGTCCCATCTGAAATGCCTGGGGCCTCTTGCAGCACAGACTGTGGGCCTGGGGCCTCCCCTGTGGTCCGCCCACAGGTCTGCACTGTGAGCAGAGACCTGATGGAGGGAAGCAGGGAGGGGCTGCTCCAACCCTGATAGAGTCAGAGGGACTGGATGACCTTCCCGCCAGGGCCACACCAAACAATTAGCAAATCGTAGAGCCATGTATTCAGATGCTGGACTTGAAGATCACTGAACAGGGACCCCTGAGAGGGGAACCAACAGAGTGAGTCTCAGAGTCGGCCCGAATCACCGCCATGAGAGCATGTCCAGGCCCTGGTGAAAAAATGGAAAACCCAGGCGCCCCATGCACCCCTGAGTCAGAGGCGGCCCTGGGATTTGGGGGAGCCCTGGGCAGCTGGTGTTTATGGCCAGAGTGACAGAGAGGGGAGACCTCCCCTGAGTCACTCTTGGTCCTCAGAGGGTCTCCCTCAAGTGTCAGCTGAGTAATGGTCAGCAACCCCATGTGAGTCTGGGATTGGGGAAACCCACAGAACTAGAGGGCTCATCCCAGACACCAAACATGCCTACAGCAGCGCCTACTCCCTCCTTCCAGGTGGGACATCGGGGAGACCACTCAGGGGGCATTGCCTCCGTTGTGGGTGAAATGAGCCCCAGTGGTTCAGTCCTACCTGACAAAGCTGATAGCAAACTCTAAAGAATGAGCCATTCCCAAGAATGTTTAGGATTTTCTACATTTAATTGATAGCATCTGTGAACACAGATTATTTTGCTTTTTTCTGATTAAGATGCTGTTTATTCCTTTCACTGTCTATCTGCTTTCCCAGAGTTTCCAGTCCTATGGAGAATGGAGGTGGCACAAGTGGGCATCCTTATCTTGTTTCTGATCTTAGAGGAAGAGCTTTCAGTCTTTCAAAATTGAGTGTGATGTTTGCTGTAGGTTATTCATACATATTCATCTATATATTCATATATACTTATATATATGCTGTTTCCTTCCATTTCTAGTTTGTTGAGTATTTTTATCATGAAAGTGTGTTGAATTTTGTCAAATGTGGAGGGTTTTTTTGCATCAGTTGAGACGGTCATAGATTTTCCTCCTCATTCTATCAATGTTGTATATTACACTGATCAACTATCATATGTAGAACCATCCTTGCATTTCAGCAATAGATGTCTCTTGGCCAAGGTTTAGATCTCTTAATCTGGTGCTGAATTTGATTTGTTAGTAATACTTGTGGGATTTTACATCAATGTTCATCAGGAATGTTGAACTGTAGCTTTCTTTTCTTATAGTGTCTTTGTCTGGCTCTGGTATCAGAGTAATACTGGCCTCTCAGAATGAGTTAGGGCAGAGGTCGGCAAACCTGGCGGCTCGCGAGCCACATGCGGCTCTTTAGCCCCTTGAGTGTGGCTCTTCCACAAAATACCACGTGCGGAACCTCACGTACAGTGCGATTGAAATTTCGTGGCCCATGCGCAGAAGTCGGTATTTTGTGGAAGAGCCACACTGAAGGGGCCAAAGAGCCGCGTGTGGCTCGCGAGCCGCAGTTTGCCAACCCCTGATAGGGAGAGTTCCCTCTGAAGTTTACAGTGACCTCAGGATGAACAAAAAATCCTTAACTTTATATAAGGCATCTATGAAACTCTCACAGCCAACACCACACTCCATTGAAAAGACAACACGTTTCCCTGAGACTAGGAACAAGACACAGATGTCCCCTCCCACCGCACTATTCAGCCTCATACTGAGGGTCTGAGCCAGAACAAGACAAGAGAAAGAAGTAAAAGGCAGGCATATTGGAAATGCAGAAGTGAAGTGGTCTCTATTCACAAAGGACATGATTGTCCACAAGACACCTCCAGGAATCTGCAAAAGGTCTTCTGGAAAATGTAAGAGTTTGGCAAGGATGAAGAATTCAAACTTAAAATAGGAAAAATTTATTGTGGTTCTATATGGAGGTGGGCAAAAGTAGATTTACAGTTATGAGTACATGAAACAGAGCTTATTCTTATGTTATTGTTTGTTTTTTAATAATTGTATTATTGATTTGTATTCTTTGCCTTGTTATTATTGTTATTATTTTGTATCCTTACCTATGATTTATATTTTAGCTAATGATGGCTGGTAATTTAATATACTTTTGCCCACCTCCATATAATATTAATAAACAATTGGATTTCAAGCTTTTTGTTTAAAAGTAGGACTTACAACAAAATAAAAAATGAAAAGCAGTTTAAATCTAACATAATGAAAACTATCAAAACACTGATTAAATGAACCAAAGAAGACATGAATAAATGGAAAATTAGAGCATCTTCACGGGTGGAGACATTGTGATGTCAGTTACTTTCACACTGATCTGTAGATTCAAGGCAATCCCAATAAAAATTTCAGCAGGATGTTTTTTGTTATCAATAAGCTGAACGTAAAAGTATTTGGAGGGGAAAGGGGTTCAAATAGCCAAAGCTATTGTCATTCTTGCTGTTGGAGACCCTCGTCCGTCTACCTTCCCCTTTACTGCGTTCCTCTGTGGCTGGTGCCCCCTCCTCAGCCGCCTGTGTGTGGGGATGTCCAGCAGCAATGAGCAGCAGAGCCCCAATTTCAGCCCCTGCTGCCCAGCCTCTGACTCTGGGAGTCAAACCATCCCTTGCAACGTCAGGGAGAACAGCTGGCAGTGGAGCACGGCGGGACAGGTGGGGCTGCCAGCGCTCCCCCACTCCAGATGTTTCCAGGGGTGTTTGCTTGGGAAACACACACAGGGCAGGGGGTCAACCCCCACTTCAACAAAACAGACTTTTTACAAGCAGCAGACTCTTTCCTGGAAATAAACCAGAGGAAATACGGGCGCCCAGGACTCAGCTCAAAATATCAACAAGGAAAGGAGGCGTGGGGAGCCTCCTGCTTGGAAAACAAACACCCAGGAGGGTATAAAAGCCAACAGCCCTGGGCATCTTACACACTCACACTCACTCACACACTCACACACTCACACCCTCCTCCAGCCTCTGCCCCACCATGGCTGCATCCGCCCTGTCCGTCTGCTCCAGCAACCGGAGCTATGGGAGCCGGGCCTGCCTGCCCGGGTCCTATGACTCTTGCACGGACTCCTCCTGGCAGGTGGACGACTGTCCAGAGAGCTGCTGTGAGCCCTCCTGCTGTGCCCCCACCTGCTGCACCTCCAGCTGCTGTGTCCCCAGCTGCTGCCAGCCCTCCTGCTGCACCTCCAGCTGCTGTGTCCCCACCTGCTGTGCCCCCAGCTGTTGCACCCCAACCTCCTGCCTTACCCTTGTTTGCACCCCAGTGAGCTGTGTGTCCAGCCCCTGCTGTCAGACAACCTGTGGGTCCAGCCCCTGCCAGTCAACCTGCACCAGCTCCTGCGTGTCCTTGTGCTGCCAGCCCTCCTGCTGTACCTCCTCCCCCTGCCAGCAGGCCTGCTGCACACCCCTCTGCTGCACACCTGTCTGCTGCAAGCCCCTGTGCTGTGTGCCTCTCTGCTCTGGGCCCTCCTCCTGCTGCCAGCCCACCCCCTGCACCTCATCCTGCTGCAGACCCTCCTCCTGCGTGTCCCTCATCTGCCGCCCCGTGTGCAGGCCTGCCTGCTGCGTGCCTGCCTCCTCCTGCTGTGGCCCTGCCTCCTCCTGCCAGCCCAGCTGCTGCCGCCCATCCTCCTGCATGTCCCTGCTCTGCCGCCCCGTGTGCTCCCGCCCGGCCTGCTGCGTTCCCACCTCAGCCCAGACTTCCCGCTGCTGAGCAGGCATGTCCTCAGGGCCAGCTGGGCTCAGGTCTTACCCTGTGACGGTGGTTCTCCCAGCCACCCCTCAGTCAGGTCCTAACCTGTGTTAGATGGCTGTCCCTACTCAGGATGGGGTCCCCCAGTCTCCCCTCTCCTGAGCTGACCTCTGCTCCCGGAGCCCTGAACCTCAGGGCTCTTGCCTCCCAGGAGGAGTCCTCACCTGCCCCTGGGTCACCTGCCCTTCCCTTCCAATTTCTCTGTCCATCATTTGACCTCCACTCTCAACCTGTCAGCACCTCCTCATGCACCCCAATAAACTCACTTCATCACCTGAGCGCTTCCTTCCTCTGATTTCATTGCCGCGGTGGCGGTGGGCGAGAAACAGGGTTCTCACCAGACACTGGTCTCCTCCAGCCGCAATATTTCTAGGAACGAGTGGCCGAGCGATCACAGCGCCTAAGTCCTCTGGGCGGGGCACTGGGTGGGACTCTCACCCCGACCCAGGAAGGTCCGTGAAGGAGTGGCCAGAAGCCATGGGACCCAATCTGAGCCAAGTGGGTTTTGCTGATTAGGCATTAAATTAATTATGAGGAATGTGGAGGCTTTGAACTTCTTTAGAATAATAGTTGCATGGAATTTGGGTCCCAGTGTGGCATGGGCAAAGGCTAGTGAAAAATGACACTATCATCCAGGTTTCATCACTTTCAATCCTCTACTCTTTCAACTGTGGCCGCTAGGCATTTATAGACTCTACATTGCAATTGCTTATAGGCATGTATACATTTCCCTGCGCAGTTCGAGTGGCTGGGGTGGCTGGGGTTTGGGGGTCACATTGTGTTTGACGTCACCGTTGTGGAGGGGGGTGTGGGTTTTAAATGGTGGTAAAGCACACAGCACCTGAAGCTCACAGTTTTAATCATCTTTACGAGTTCGGCTCAAGGGCATAAGCAGTCACAGGTGGTTGTTGTTGCGCCTCATAACCACCCTCCATCTCAGAACTTTCTCATCTTCCCGGGATGACTCTGTTCCCATTAAACATCGGCTCCTTTCCCGGCCCCCGGCCCTGGTGTCCACCTCTGCACTCGGTGTCTGTGAATGACACAGCTCCAGGGTCCCCCATCTACCTTACTCCTAATCCTTTGTCCTTTTGTCACTGCTGGTTCCGCTCCGGCCCACGCCCTCACCGCTCGTGTATGGTGAGGCCAGATCGTCCTTTTCTGGACTGAACACACACCGGTTGCTGGGTGTCACACATTATGCATTGCTCCTCCGACCTGCGCTGGGCTTGCTGCTCGGGTGCCTC